CCCCCGCTCCTCCTCATCAGGATTTATAGGTGGTTCCTGGCCTCCTTGAGGACCTAGAAGACAGCGTTCACAGAGGGAGTTAGATTTATAAAATAGGAAATTCATCCACAATTACTATTAGACCTCGGCACTCTACTTTCCTGAGTAAGGGGGCTGTCCTGTCATCTCACTTGACCCTTCCAATAAGGGGCTGAGAAAATACAGGTGTTTTCTCATCCCTATTCTGCAGTTGGCCTGTGCTGTCCCTCTCAGGGGTGACCTTGAGTCTAGAGCCCACATCCTGATCATGAGACAGGACTCCCCCCTCCCCCACTTACAGCTTCAGTCAGCTCAGAGGGCTTAGGGAGGCTGGCCGTGACACCTGTGTGGTTTGGCAGCCCAGTTCATCCAGCCATTAGAATTTCAGACGTGATAACTCGGATGTGTTAATATGAACTTGGTAGAGTCGAATATACATCTCCTAAAAAACATGCCCTCCCCCCCAAAAAAAAACTGGGTAGCTGACAGAACACTGTGCTAAGTCTGTATCAGTGTCCTAGACTAGAAGTAAATAGAATCAAGCCGGAGCTCCCTGTTTCTCTGTAACCAGGCCTATCACAACCGCCTTCCACTACTTAATAGATGGTACCAGGTTCTATAGACAAAGGCCTGATGTGGGGACAGGGAGGGAGGAACCTGTGGAGGCATTTTGAGAAGTGTCCCATTTCCATGGCAGCAACGCTGGCTTTGGGGTCAGACCACCTTCCTTCTCGTCTCTGTCCCCCACTTACTAGCTGTGTGACCCTGAGCAAGCTTTCTTTTTTCTTTTTCTCAATTTTTTTTACTGTGGTAAAATACACATAAACATAAAATGTACTATCAACCATTTTAAGTATAGAGTTCAGTGGCATTAAGTACATTCGCACTATTATGCAACCATCATCACCATCCACTCCCAGAACTCTTTTCATCTTGTAAAGCTGAAATCCTGACCCCATTAACTAACTCCCCATCCCCCCTCCTCCCAGCCCCTGGCACCCACCATTCTCCTTTCTGTCTCTATGAATTTGTCTACTCAGGTGCCTCATAAAAGTGGAATCCTACAGTATTTGTCTTTGTGTGATGGGCTTATTTCAATGAGCATAATGCCCTCAAGATTCCTCCATGTCACAGCATATGTCAGAATTTCCTTCCTTTTGAAGACTGAACAGTATTCCATTGTTTGTACAGACAGTATTTTACTTATTCATTTCTTGGTAATGAACACTTGGGTTGTTTACACCTTTTGGCTGTTGTGAATAATGCTGCTATGAACATGAACATGGGCATACAAATATCTCTTTGAGACCCAGATTTCAGTTCTTTTGGGTGTATATCCAGGAGTAGAATTGCTGGGTTATGTGATAACTGCCAAACTGTTTTGCACAGAGGTTGTACCATTTTACATTTCTACCACAGTGCACAAGGGTTCCAGTTTCTCCACATTCACCAGCATTTATTTTCTCTCGTTTTATTGTTGTTGTTTTTTTGGGGGGGGGGGGATTTTTTGTGTGTGTGTGGTTTTTTTTTATAGTAGTCATCCTAACAGCTGGTGTGAGGTGGTATTTTTTCATTTACATTTTTTTAATGATTGTTGATACTGAATCTTTTCATACACGTATGCTTGTTGGCCAGTTATATATCTTCTTCAGAGAAATGTCTGTTCAAGTCCTTTGCCCATTTTTGAATTGGGTTGTTTGGTTTTTTTGTTATTGTTGAGTTTTAGAAGTTCTCTATATATTCTGGTTATTCCCTGTCTTTTAATACACAAAACTTTTTAATTTTCACAAAGTCCAATTTGTCTATTATTGTTTTTGTTGCTGTACTTTTGGTGTCATATTCAAGAAATCATTGACAAATCCACTGTTGTGAAGCTTTTGCCCAATGTTTTCTTCTAAAAGCTTTCTTATTTTAGCTCTTACACACAGGTCTCTGATCCATTTTGAGTTAATTTTTGTGTAAGTGTTAAGGTAAGGGGTCCAGCTTCGTTCTTTTGTTTGTGAATATCCAGTTTTCCTAACGCCATCTGTTGAAAAGACTACCCTTTTTCTATTGAATGGTCTTGGCACCCTTGTAAAAAATCATTTGACCACATATGTGAGGGTTTATTTCTGGGCTCTCTGTTCTGTTCCATTGTCTGTGTGTCTGTCTTTGGGCCAGTACCACACTGTTTTGATTACTGTAGCTTCATAGTAAGTTTTCAAATCAGAAGTGGGCATCCTTAAGCTTTGTTCTTTTTCTAGATCATTTGGCTTTTTGGGGTCTATTGAGATTGCATATGAATTTAAGATTGATTTTTCATTTCTGCAAAAAAATCCTCATTGGGATTTGGTAGGGATTTTATTGACTCTAGATAGCTTTGGGGGTACATCTTAACAATATTTTCTTCCAGTCCATGAACATGGGATATCTTTTCATTTATTTATGTCTTTAATTACTTTCGGCAACATTTATAGTTTTCACTGTACAATTCTTTCACTTCTTTGGTTTAGATAATTCCTAAGTATCTTATTCTTTTTGATGCTTTTGTAAATGGAATTGTTTTCTTCCTTTTTGATTATTTATTTTTAGTATATAGAAATGCAACTGGTTTTTACTCATTGATTTTGTGTCCTGTTATTGTGATGAATTCACTTATTAGTCTTAACAGTTTTTGTGGAATCTTTAGGATTTTCTATATATAAGATCAAATCATGTACAAAGGATAATTTTACTACTTTTTTTCCAGTTTGGATGCCTATTATTTCTTTTCCTGCCTAATTGCTCCGGCTGGAATTTACAATACTATATTGAGTGGAATTGATAAAAAGCAGGCATCCTTGCCTTGTCTCCCTCATCTTAGAGGAAAAACTTCCAGTCTTTCACCATTGAACATAATGTTCACTGCAGTCTTTTCATATATGTAGGGATATGTTGAGGTAGTTTCCTTCTATTCCTAGTATGTTGAGTATTTTTATCATGAAAATGTATAGAATTTTGTCAAATACTTTTTCTGCATCAATTGAGATAATCGTGTGGTTTTTTTTTTCCTTCATTATGTTAATGTGGTGTGTTATATTGATCAATTTTCATTTGTTGAACCATCCTTGCATTTTAGGAATAAGTACCACTCAGTGTATAAATGGTCATGGTGTATAAACTTTTTAATATGCTGTTGAATACAGTTTGTTAGTCTTGAAGATTTTTGCATCAATATTTATAAAGGAATTGTATTTTTCTTGTAATATTTTTATCTGACATTGGTATCAGGACAATGCTGACCTCATAGCATGAGTTTGAAAGTGTTCTTCTCGCTTTAATTTTCTTGAAATATTTGAGGAGCATTTTGTTCTCTAAAAGTTTGGACCAGTGAAGCCATCTGGTCCAGGGCTTTTCTTTGTCAGATTTTTTATTACAATTTAATCTCCTCACTAGTTATAGGTGTGTTTAGATTTTCTCTTCATGATTCAATCTTGGTAAGTTTTGTGTTTCTAGGAAATTGTCCATTTCATTGAGGTTATCTAATTTGTTGGTGTACTATTATTTATAGTATTCTTTTATGACCTTTCTGATTTCTGTAGAACCAGTAGTAATGTACACATTCATTTCCCATTTTAGTAATTTGAGTGTTCTTTTTTTTCTTAGTCAACTTAGCTAAATGTTTGTCAATTTTGTTGATTTATTTTTTCAAAATCAACTTTTCTCTATTTTTCTATTAATTTTTCTCTGTTTTTCTATTTCATTTATCTCTGCTTTAATCTTTATTTTTGGGTTGTCGGAAAAGTTATGACACATTTTTGCAACGAAAAACAGAAAAAATATGTCATGACTTTTCTGTCAACCCAATATTTCCTTCCTTCTGCTAGTTTTGGGCTTAGTTTATTATTATTTTTTTCCAGTTCCTTAAGATGTGAAGTTAAGTTGTTGAAATGGGATATTTCTTTTTTAATATAATCATTTACAGCTGTAAATATCACTCTTTGCACTGCTTTTGCTGCATCCTATAAGTTTTGGTATGTTAAGTTTTCATTTTCATTTGTTTCAAGATATTTTCTAATTTTCTTTGTGATTTCTTCATTGTTTTTTTTTTTAAATGTGTTCAGTTTCCATACATTTGTGAATTTTTCAGTTTTGTTATTGATTTCTAATTTCATTTGGTTGTGGTCAGAGAAGATACTTTGAATGATATTTACCTTTTTTGAATCTGTTGAGATTTGTGTCCTCACATATAGTATATCCTGGAGAATGGCCCACATGAACTTGAAAAGAATGTGTATTCTGTTGTTGTTGGGTAGAGTGTTCTGATATCTCTTTCAGATCTTGTTGGTTTATTGTATTGTTCAAGTCCTCTATTTTCTCCCTTACTTTCTTGTTCTTTCCATTTTTAAAGTTTCCAACTATTATTGTAAAACTGTTTCTCCTTTCAATTCTGTCAATTTTTGCTTCATATATTTTGATGGCATTTTATTAATGCATAAATGTTTATAATTGTTACATGTTTTTTGCTGTATTGACCTTTTATTAATATATAATATACTTCTTTGTCTTTTGTAACCTTTTTTTTTTTTAGCTGAGCCATCCTGCCACCTGTTGGCAGCTCAGCGGCTGCTCAGCTTGGGCCGGGACTCGAACCGCTGTTGTTCAGAGCTCAAACTCTTCAGCAAGCTCTTAACCAACTGAGCCGCTCAGCTGGCCCTAACCTTTTTTTTTTTATTTAAATTCTATTTTGTGTGATATTAGTGTAGCCATCCCTGTACTTTTGATTATTGTTTCCATGAAATACCTCTTTCCATCCTTTCCCTTTCAACCTATTTGTGTCTTTGGATCTAAAGTGAATCTTTTGTAAACAGCATATAATTGAATCATGTTTTTTTTCTCTTCATTCTGCCAGTCTCTGTCCTTTGATTGAAGAGTTTAACCCGTTTACATTGAAAGTAACTACTGATAAGGAGACAGATATGTCATTTTGGTATTTGTTTTCTATGTACCTTATAGCTGTTATTGTCCCTAATTTTTTTGCATTGCTGTCTTCTTTTGTGTTTGTTTGGTTTTTGTACTGAAATGTTTTAAAAACCCTTCTCATTTCCTTTTGTGTGTGTTCTATAGCTGTTTTCTTTGTGGTTGCTGTGGGGTTTACATTTGACTTTCTAATGTTAAAACACTCTAATTTGAATTTACACGAGCTTATTGAGCAAGTTTTCTGGTCCTCAGCTGTTTTATTTGTAAAATAGGAGAACCTGTTCTACAAACCTCAGAGGATTTTTTTGAGGTTCAAATATTAGTCGGTATAAAAGCTCCTTGTAAGCTGTTAAACATGTACACGTCATTAACTCTGTTATTGTTATATTTTCCTTGTACTTGCAGTTGTATTCTAGACTTGACTAGGTGGGTACATTGGTGGTTTTGAGTTGCAAATAAGCATAACAATGTTTCGCAACTCATTTTTAATTGGGCTTTCATAGAAATATAACTGTCTTCTAGATCATTTTTTTCTTTTTAAAAAACTCTGACTCAACAAGTATGTGTTAGGAACCTGCTTTCTTCACTACACTCTGCTAAAGCATATGGGAAAAGCAAAAAACTCATCCTACCCTGAAGTAGCATAAAATACAGCAGGGAGATGGGACTGGCACAGAAGGAAACTTGTACAGCTACCCAGGAGAGACCAGCAGGTAGTAGACACAGTGGAACAGGCTCTGACCACTGGGTCCTGGGCCCACTGGAGCAGGAGGAAGTGGGACTAGGCAGGAAGGGGGGGTGAGCTGCCTAGGAGAAAAGAAGGACCAAAGTACAGGAAGGAGCAGTGTGCACAACTTGGGTAGAACAGTGTGCTCAGAGGACACATTTTATGAACAGGGAGCTGCAGAAGGCTCCTTGGAAGTATTATTGCTCTTCGTTTTGCAGGTGGGGATGTTGAGGCTCAGAAAACGTTTTGCCCGAGGTCACACAACTAGTTAGTGTGGAGCTGGTTCTAGAACTCTGTTGGATCTCTTGAGTCTCAGGCCAGTCCTTTGTCTAATGTGCCAGGGTTTCCCTTGAACCTGGTTGGCCCTGGACGTATCACACTGAGCTTTAAAGCATTAAAATCCTTGTGTAAAGTGATGGAACTTTCATCATAGCACTTGCATTATGTTAAAATGTTTAGGATATTGGATATTTAAAGGTGGGGAATGAAAAACAAACTGACATGTACTGTAAATGAACATGACAGCCCACTGCAGGTGAAACGAGTGAGCCAGCACTGCCACTCCTGGCATGGGGAGACCTCAGAGCTGGGGTGCTGAATAAAGAAGCAAGCTTCAGGGTGCCCGCTGCAGACTCCATTTGTGGGAAAACAACCTACAACACAACAGTATATTTCAGTCTGCATGCACTTATATGACAGACAGCACCTTGGTGGGGGCCGGGGCCAGGGAGGCTTTGCCTGTAAGGAGCTCTGTAGCTTACTCTTCCTGTCCGCCCCCTCTGGTCATCAGAGGACACTGCTTTGTCTGTGCCACACGCACCACCCTGAGCATCTCTTCGTGGGCCCCCGGAGACCAGTCTCTCCTCTCCCGGCTGCCTGATAATTGTCTTGACCTCACAGCCTGTTTAGAGCGAGGCAGGTAGAAGGCTGTACATAGTGTGTCATGTCTCACAAGTTGTGTGTTACATAGATCCTTCTACGGGCATTCTACTTCTGCAAATACCTGTTTCTCTTATTCTTCATATGATCGGGCAAATTCTCAACATGAACTTAGTGACATCCTACAGGTATTTAAGAACCTACTATGTTATGTGCTGTTTTATTTATCTTGAGAGCTCCAGTAGCTTAAATTCAAAGCAGATGAGGTCTCAGATATGAAAGCCCTTTCATTGCAAAGCACTGTGCCCATCAGGGAGGATGTTATTTAGTGACATGGTATCTGGCATCAGGGAGGTCCAGATTTGCTGAAAGGAGCGAGAAGTCCACTGTCACTTGTGGCATGAGGTGGCATGTGCTAAGTTGCGATAGGGGGTGGGAGTGCCACAGGAGTGGAGAGGAAGGAATGGTCATATCCAAATGAGCAGATGAGGGACAACCTTGTGGAGGTGGCCTTTCAGGTGGTAAGTCGCAGATGCCACGGTGTTTTCGTGGTTTCAGTAGGCAGAAATTGGGGTGGAGAGAGAAGGTGTTATAGGTGGGAGGAGCTGCTTCAACAAAGGTGTGAAAGTTAGAAAACTTGACATCTAATCTTGGCTTAGCTACTTTATCCCTGTGGAGGGCGGGCTCTCAGCCTGCTTCTGCTGCTGGCTTGGAGGGAGCCATTGGCTGCAGTTGCCCTTGAATGTGTGGGTCTGAGTACTGCTCCTCGTGTACCTTCTCCCAGGGAGTCCTCACAGCCCACCCCATCATAACATGTTTCTTCTCTTTTGTGATAACCCATTGCATTTCCCTCTCCTCTAGACTCTGGCCTTCTCCCTGTTGCTGTGGCCCTGGCAGATATATGGGATAAGTAGTAGGCACTCAATAAATACTTGTATAATGAATTTCTCAATTAAGGGACATGCTGTTGTCACCTGGGGTTCTCCCCAACCCACCCCCACCTTGTTTTCTACTTTATGATTGCTTTTCCTGCTGCTAATTCAGTTGTATCTTATCTTTGCAGATGAAGCTACTAAACTTATATATAAAGAGGGCCCAAACCACGAACAGCAACAGCAGCTCCTCCTCGGACGTCTCCACACACAGTTAATGGCAACACCGAGTCTCTGCGTAGCCCTAGAAGCAGTCGGTGGTGCCTCTCAGAGACCTTCCCCTCCCCTTCATCGGCTGCCCCATCAGGACAAGGAGGCCCGCAATATTTATTACAATCAGTATTTTGGTCCCTTCCAGCTTTTGTGTAGAATCTTACTGGTATTGAATGTAAATGAAGCAAGGCCTGTTTTGCCGTCTTCATACAAAGCAAAAGGAATAAGAAAAGAAAAGAGCCATACTTACACATGTCTTCTACAGCCTGCTGAGATCATCAACCCATGTGTGTGGGGTGCTGTCTTTAAAAATCAGAGCTCTTTAGCCAATAGTTGTAGGAAGTAGCATTTTCTCTTCAGTTAACAGAGTTGAGGACGGTGTGTTAATTTGTATTTCTCTTTCATCTTAGCTAACTTTCTCCTGGATATGGCCTGTGTGGGGCAGGCGACCCCACCTTCCCCCTTTCACTACTGCCACCATGAAAGGGTTGTCCATCTTTAAATTATATTTTGAGACCTACTAAGAATGTGAATTGGGTCTTGGCAAAAAATGGAGAAAAGCCTGAAGATGGCTTTTTAACAAAACACATAGAATTTTGCTTATAATATCTAGACTGCAGGCTGAGTGCCCTCCCTGTGGTTTAGAAGGGCATCCTCTCAGTCTTCTTCCAGTTCAGGCGCCCAGCCCCACTGAACAATGCCATAATGCTGTCGGCCCCCACCCTAGAGCTTCTGCTCAAAAGAATCCTTAAAGTTTATATCCAAACACAAAAATCAAGGTAAATGTATAGCATCGTTAGTGATGCCTAAAATGGCATTTCATGAAGCATGGAAGATATCAGAAATAGTTTGTTTTGCTACTAAGATCTTTAGGAAACACTATTTTACCAGGGCTTCTCCCTCAACCCTGGTTTTTGGTGATTCTGGCCTGGCGCCATCCTTTGCTTAAGCTGCTCAATTCTAAAAGGTTTTCACTTGGTCTAGTAAATGGCAACTCGACCATCTCAGTTTTGACTTTTCTTTAATTTATGACTAAGATCAAAGAGAAGCCTAGAGAGACCAGGTATCTGAATTTTTTTTTTTAATTTATAGACTGAAGTACTTCCTTGATCATCTGTTGAAATAGTCATTGTTTAAGGAAAAAGTAATTATGATGAGTGGCAAATTGCAGAAAAAGAGTATTTGAAACACAATTTTAGAGTATTTCCTTTTCTTCAATAAGAAATTACCAGAGAAACTGCCCCTTTTAAAAAGTTTTTTGAGGGTTTGATTGTTCCAAAGTAACTATAGATGTGGAGTCTGGCTAAATAAGTTTTGAGTAAAATTCTTAAAGCCAAATGGAACTTCTTAATGCAATCATAAAGATTTCTGTCATCTCTTAAGTACTTTAGAGCCTCTAAATTGAAAATGATTTTTTTTCCATGGAAAATGCCTATTCTGATGTAAATTTTTAATGAAGTGTTTGCAGTTTTGGTGCAGAGTTCCTTCAGCTGGCAGTGCTGAGAGGCAGAGATTGTGTGGTTCTCAGCACTGACCTCCACAGACCCCCGTCTTCTCTAACCCTCCAGCTTTGATGTTGGGAGTTGTGAAAGACACTGTAGCAAATGTAACTCATTTTCATTCAGATATTATTTTACATACTTTATTTGGAAATAGGCTCTGAAAATGAAGGTCCAGGAACAGTGAAGCCAGGGTGCCTTTACTGTGTGTGCGTGTGTGTGCGTGCGTGCGTGCGTGCGTGTGTGTGTGTGTGTGTAGGGGTATCTCACACATGTAGGGAGTGCCCCACTGCTGCTGTTGAGGGAACTTCAGGGGTGCATTTTAAGTGGTTGAATATTATTGGCTTATTTTTTGGCTCAAAACATAGCAGGACCAGGCCTCACTTTCATTGTTAAATAAATACTGTTTGTTAATATTTCACTAATGGGATTCTTTTGTACACTCTACAAGTGAGTCAGCAGAGCATCTTTGATTACTGCTCCATTGTAGAAACGTGTATTCTGGCTAGGTTATTTATGAGTTTTTTTATGCCTCGTGTTTGGATAGACCTTCCTCAACTCTTGATTCCCAGGTCGCCATGGCCCCCGCCTACAGTTGGGAAGAATCTTGAACATTGCCGAATGCCCTCATCGTCCTCACAAAGGGCTCGCCTTGATGTCACTTGCCCAGCCTTCGTCTCCTGACTTAGACATACAGGCACTCACAGGTGTCTTGGCCTCAGTCCAACCGCTGCCCGCCTCCGAGGACACTCGCATGCCGCCGCCACCTCACAGGGAGGGCCGCCAGGCCCGCCGCCCTCGACACCCTGACAGCTGCAGCTGCCTGGCCGCTTCCCTGCAGGGCCCCTATTCAGATGACACAACAGAACACGGAAAAACAAAGCACCCAAACTGAGTTTGCTTCCCCTGTTTACCTGACTGTCCAGGACCCTCAGAGCGCACCTGACCCCACCGCTGGGGCCAGATCGCCCAGCTCCTGCTCCCCTTCACGCTGCTGCGGTCGCTCGTGAGGCCACAGCTGCAGGGGAGGCTCGCAGCGCCCTTCCAGTGCCGGGGTCGCGCGGCCCGGTGCCCGCACTGCGGCGGCACTGCCTCTGCAACTCTAGCTTATCCGCGCCCCCGTGCGGACAACGCAACGGATTTTTGTCTCATCTTTTTCTTTCCCTTCCGCCCTTATTTATCAAGCATAAATATTACACATTGAAGAACAGCAAATAAGAACTTTGTAGACTTCCACAGGACTTTACTAACAATGGTGTTTGGAAATGAAAAAAGAAATGCTCTGAAAAATATCAGCCACCAAAATAGTTTTGTCGGCACTGTGTTCACACGCATGGTCCCCACACCCCTAAGTTGGGTTTTTTGGGTTTTTGTTTTGTTTTTTCCTTGCTTTTTCATGTTACATCCATATCTGTATTTATATCTTATTTGTTTCACTTTCAGGTGTATCATGGCAAATGTACAGTTTTTTTTTGTTGTTGTTAATAATGTGCTAGGATTTGCTAAAAAAGAAAACAAACACTTTCAAGTTTGCCCTAGAATAAATGAAACTTAATTCAGTTTCCTGCGTTGGGGCAGTCTTTTTATCACCGTACCCTGCAGAAAGCTTGTCCCATATCCCTGACGTCATAACATGGCCACATCTATAAAGAATCCGAGGGGACTCCATCAGGGCACCTCTTTCTCTTCGTGTTAAAACAGGTCTAACCCTAGGGGCACTTTCCCACCTGACCGGGTGCCCAGGGGCTGCTGTGTGCAGTGTGGGGTGGAAAGGTTGGGCATGAAGACCCCTGCTGAGCTGTATGAGCAGAGGGCCTCCCTTGTCCAGCCTGCCCCCTCGCTAGAGCAGGGAGGAAGAACACTCGCTTTCAGAAACCAGCAGGCCACCTGCTGGGAGCAGGCGGGTCTTCACTTGGATGTGGATGAAAGGCTTGAAAGGGGCTGCCTAACAGCAGGCAGGAGCATGGTCTTAGGAGGAGCCTGTGCACCACACCAAGGGCACCAATCCATTTATTTGAAGCTTTACTTTCATTTTAAAACTATTTTGAGTTTTCCCTCATGTTCCATGATGCATGTCAAGTGTCACTACCCCATGACTGAGCCTCCTTTCCCCTGTGGCCCGCCGCCTACATGTGACCGCAGAGGGATACGGATCACGCATACCTGGGTTCAAATCCCGTCTCCCCCCTTCACTGTGGGGCAAGTCATGTCACTTCCTGCCTCAGTCTTCATTTATAAACTACAGTGAGAGCTACTTTATGGAGGTAGAGTGAGGGTTAATAGACATGATGTGAGTGAAACAGCTGGCAGAGTAAATGCCAGTCTCTTGGCTGTGGTGGGGAATACACCGGAGGGTGAGGTCACCCCCACGCCTGTGTATGCAGGTTCCATTAACCATTAACAAATGGGGAAAAGTCCCAGGTGATGGACCGACCACATTCGGGCAAGGCAGGCAGTGCTGCTTTCTATATTTGGATCTCTACCCCACCCCACCCCCAGCCCCATTGCCCTCCCTTATCCCAGGGCAGCCAGGAAGTCCTTGCCATCTTTCAGGCGGTCACAGGCCATGGTAGTGGGGTGGGGGTACAGGGCCCACTTCAATAGCAGGTCTTGACTTTGAGAGATCTGAATGGTCACCAGAAAAATGAACATTTGCACTCAATCGTGTGTTACAAGCATTGAGTGGCTCAGACTCCTGGTGACCCTACGGATGAGTGAAGTCCAGTGTCCTGTCCTCCGCCCTGCTCATCTCCTGTAGACTCATGCCTATAGCTTCTTTTATGGAGTCAATCCATCTCATATGTGGTCTTTCTCTTTTCCTGCTGCCTTGTTTTCCCAGCAGTATTGTCTTTTGCAAAAAAAAAACCAAAAAAAAACAACCCTGCCTTCTCCTGAGATGCCTGATGTAAGACAGCTTCAGTTTTGTCCTTTTTGCCTCCAGTGATGTTTCAGGCTTATTTTGCTCCAGGACCCACATGTTCATCTTTCCGGTGGTCCAGGTATCTGCAGAGATCTTCAGCACCATATTTCAAATGAATCAATGTTTTTCCTATCCACCTTCTTCACTGTCCAGCTTTCTCATCCATACATAGTAAGTGGGAACACGAGGGTGTGGATGACTTCAGCCTTGGTCTCTAATGACACGTCTTTGCTCTTGGTGATCTTTCCTGATTCTTCCATTGCTGTCCCATTCTGAGTCTCAGCCTTCTCTTGATTTCTTGGCTGCATTCTCCATTGGAATTGATGACCGAACCAGGGTAAGCAAAATCTTTAACAATTTCAGTGTCTTCATCGTCTCTGTTAAAGTTGTGTATTTTTTTTCTGTAGTCATAATTGTTGTGTTCTTGATGTTCAAATGCAGTCCTGCTTTGGCACTTCCTTCACTTTCATCACAAGTCATTTCAGATCATTGCTACTTTCTGCCAGTAAGAAGGTGTTATCTGTACATCTTAAGTTACTGATACTTCCACCAATTTTCACTCAATCATAGTAGATTGCAGAACCCCCTAAAGCTGTCCAAGGGTTTCAAGGTGAAAACCTCTGACTTAAAGGCCACCGTTGTTGATTGACATTCTTGGATCAGTAATGGGAGAGAGGGAAAGAGTAGTTGACAGGCAGCATTAATGTCATTGGTGAGGCACTTAGATTTTTGAAGAATTCTCATCTGTAGCATCTCACTGATGTTTACATCAGTCCTGAGATGCAGAGAAGGCATGTGCTCTCGTGTTCAATTTCCAGGTGAGAAAACAGACACAAGGAAAACTCCCAGCTAGACAGTTATGAGCGGAGTTGGGGCTAGGACCCAGGTGCCCACCTCTGTCCAGCAGCTGTGTTCTCTGCCTCCTCGCATCTCCTCACCCATAACACATCTTTCCTGAAATTACAGAGAGCACATCAGAGCCTCATAGGGGGCTTGTGAAGCAGAAACTGGGCCACACCCTCAGCGCTGCTGACGGCGTAGGGCTGAGGGAGACCCTGGAAATGTGTGTTTCTGATCAATTCCAGGTGATGCTGATACTGCTGGTCTGCAACCACAGTTTGAAAACTGTTGCAGAGCATTTTGCATAAAACATGACGGAGTGTAGCCTCCACTTGTGGGACAATCCTTAAGGCAAGCTGGCAAAAAACAGCGCTAGGCTTTGAGGATGTCAGCCAGACCACCACTGGCATTATGGGGTAATGGATAGTGACTAACTCAGCATCTGGACTAGGATATTGAAAGGGAAATAGGGAGCCACCAGCAGAGGGAAAGCAGGAGTGTCTCAGGCAAACAGAACGTACACTTCTCCGGGCGATAAAGCTCCCGTGCAGGGGAAAGGTCTTCCCTGAAGAGCCTTAGCCCCGGCCTGCCTGGCCTTTCCATTTCCTCCAGTATTTATTAACTTATACCTCAGTGGCTGCAGGCAAGAACGGACAAAGGTCATTTGAATGGGCATCTAATCTTAGATTATGTATTTAAAAAACATTAAAATGCTTCCACACCAGTGCCCTCCTCAGACACTGGGCCTGCTGCCAGAGTTGAGGCCTGGAAGGCTCTGGGCCCCTCTGGAGATGGTGTTCCTGGGTAAATTCCCTACAGCTCTGGGATGCCCCTACCTCCCCAGGTGCCCTGCGAGTGGGGGGGGAGAGGGGAGGGTAGCGGGGTGGGGGGATGGCGGTTAGCGGGGGGCAGGAAGGGCCCGCGGCCCCAGACCTGGGCCCAGGCAGCGCCATCTCCCACAGCAGTGGTTCCGGCTCCGTGCCTCCACAGCCTTGGCAGTCCCCTTTACCTGGGAGGCTTGGAAGTCTCCCCACATATATCCAGCGTCAGCGCCTCTCCTCTGGTCTCCTGCTTCCCAGGTCAGCAGGCCTGCCATTTCCCCAGTGGACATAACTGATACTGAATGCTTACTGTGTGCTAAGCGCTGGTCCAGTGTTGCACTGAGTTACCTGACTTAATCCTCATAAAACCCTCTGAGGTAGGTCCTATTATTATTCCCATTTTACAGACGGAAAGCAGAGGCACAGAGAGGCTGAGTAACTCACCTGGGGTCACATTGCTAGTAAGAGGCAGAGCTGGGATTCCAAGCCAGGAAGTCCCACTCTAGACTGAACCAGTCTTAACATTGTGTCTCTGTCTCTTCTCTGAGCCTTGGTGCTGTTTCCCATCTGTTTCTCTTGTTAGCAAGTTCAGGTGGTCTCTGGTCACAGGACTGCTGAGCTGTGTGACACCAGCTCATGATAAATGTTTATGGGGCACCCCAGGTACTGCTTGCTGGGCCTGGCATGGAGGAAAGGGCCTGCTTGGGCACAGGAAGTCTGGGTCTTGAATCCAACCCTAGGAGTTTCAGAGTCTGTAACTTGAGCCAATGGATTTCAGTTTAGGATGACCTCAGTTTCTTCCTCTGTGAAATCCTAGGGGTGGGGAATTTGGGAGACAGGGATACAAGGATTAGCATACTGTGTGTAAAGTTCCTAACACAGTTCTCGGATCCCTCAACAAATGTCAGCTGTTATAATTCTTACATTATTACAATTACTATTGTTGAGGCACCTACCCCAACTTCTCACACACATGATGCTCAGTAAGTGGACAAACAAATGAAAGAATTAATGTCTCTTCCCTTTAAAACCCACAGTCCAGGGGGAAAGATCAACACACAAACCGTCAGCTTCTAGGTGCTTTTCCATCTGTGAGAGACGATCAGCCCGGAGGAGGTGGAGAGAGACAAAGAACTGTCTGAAAGTCTTTCCTTTTTATGTAACCTCCCTCCAGCGACTCCAGCCGCTCCTCAGCCCCTAGAAACAGCGGCTCCCCCGAGCTGGGTGCCCTCTCCACAGGGGACTTCACACCACACCTTCCCACAGCTCCCTGTCCTAACAGCCACATCTTACCTCCTTTGAGCTCCAGATTCCCTCACCCTTCTCGACTTCGCGTGGACGCCTCAAGGGCTGCTCAAATGGAGTATTTTCACCATCGGACATTTGAGCTGGTCTCCCAAATCTGTTGCTCACCATTTTGGAAAAGGGTAGCTCCAGCCACTCGGATTCTAATGCTAGGCCCGTTCCCTCGTCCTCCACTCCCACCTTAGCCTACCCACAAGTCCCATGAACCCCACCTTCATAGTAGATCTGGAAGCTCCACCTCTCGCCCTTCCCAGTCACCACCTGGCCTAGCCTCCCTCTTCTCTCACCTGCACCAGTGGGAGGCTGCTCCCGCCCTGTCCTACCTGCGCTCCGCTGCCTTCTAGTCTCCCTCCTGGAGGCATGTGGCTGCTGATTTTAATCAAGGTTCATCTGTCATTCCTTTGCTTCAAACCTTGCAGTGGCTTCACACACACACATCAGGATAATATTCCAGAATTTTGGCCTTGACCTGCAGGTCCACCACCCAGCCCCTGCCTTCTACCTTCACCCCGTCTTGTGCCCCGGCCACTGTGTCCCTCCCTGCCGCCAGGCCTCTGCTGCTGTTCGCTCTGCCTGGTCCACTCCCTTCACCCCTCTGCACACGTGCACTTGTGCACACACCACACACACACACACACACACACACACACACACACGGAAATCTATGCAATTCT